TCCGGAGCCGCGGGTTGCAGACCCCTGCCCCAGAACAATGCACATGGGGAGGAGATGGGAGAAAGGGATTCTGCTTTGCAGATGGACCTTAACACAGATGGAAAAGCTGTATTAGCCAGATGTTCTGTTCCACCCATTATTACCAACTGCCAACCACAAACAGTAGGCAGTAGTCTGCTTGAGGTCTGCTAGGGTTAGGCAATTGCATTTTTTATTAGCCAGCCAACCATACATTATGGTCAGTCTTCTGTCATAGTTGTTGTTGCTATTTGTGATTGCTAACCACAGATAAGAGTGTGTGTGCACATCTATATATTTATTTCTTTTTATTTATTTATTTATTTGGAACACTTTTATATTGCATATCAACAAAGTCATCTGGGCAGTTTACAAAAGTTCTGAATGCATAAAATGCCAAGCCACAATCGAATAACACCAGGATGCATTAAAACATGTCCATACAGCTAAACATAATAACTAAAACAGTCACAAAAGCAGGAGGAATAAAATTACAAGATAATGAAATAATAATCATAGGAAGCTTTTTTTAAAAAAGAATGAGTAAGATATATTTCATAATGGAACACACGGTACATGTTTATGCCAAACATATCAAATAATCATGAATGTTGCCAAATAAGCTTATATTAAGTAGGAATGTGCTATTAATTATTAATATTAAATATTAATATTTTGCCCTCACTGCTGCTGACAATCTACCCTCCATATGACAGGGCCTCTTTGATGACTCCAATTAATATCTTACTTTTTCTCTTTACTGACAATCTGCCTCTCAAAAGATTAGAAAATATCAGTCTCATACTATACCTTACCCAGTCATACAAAACGGTTTGCTCAGGATAAAGAAAGTATTCACTGGCACAGCTAGTGTTCAGACTCATAACAAGCAGTTAAATGCAATACAGGTGTATAGAATCAATCATCGCATGATTACATGGTTAAAGGTACAGCATCACTTTTCTGTTACAACCAAACAACAGTATACATATTAACTCATACATAGTATCCCAGATCGAATTCAGTATTCAAATCCTTTGGATATAAGGTTCCTAATTGAAATACAGTGGTGCCCCGCAAGACGAATGCCTCGCAAGATGGAAAACCCGCTAGACGAAAGGGTTTTCCGTTTTGGAGGTGCTTCGCAAAACGAATTTCCTATGGGCTTGCTTCGCAAGACGAAAATGTCTTGCGAGTTCCTGCGGGGTTTTTTTCCTTCCCCCCCCTTTTTCCCAAGCCGCTAAGCCGCTTATCAGCTGATCCACTAAGCCGCTAAGCCGCTTATCAGCTGATCCGCTAAGCCCGCTAAGCCGCTAATAGCGCTAATCCGCTAAACCGCTAATGGGCTTGCTTCGCAAGACAAAAAAACCGCAAGACGAAGAGACTCGTGGAACGGATTCTTTTCGTCTTGCGAGGCACCACTGTATTAATTTATACTCCTTTTGTAGCAAGGCTCTTCGTATATCTACAGTTCTAAAAGGTTGTTTTTAAAGGTCCACAAGATTAAAAAAAACTCAGATCAGTCTCTGTATGGGCTGGTGTGTCCAACCTTGGCATTCCATGATTTGACCTTCCTTGAGTCCCCGCCCCCCATTCTAGTGGCACTATATATATGGGGCCATCTCCTCAAGAATATCAGGGTGTGCTTCTGGTCAGACACTCAAGCGGTAGGAATCATCATCATCAAGCAGTCGGCAAAATCAGAAAAGGGTGATCATCGTGCTCCAGCTCTTTGTATTAGAAAGTCTCAAAGGTAACATTTCCTTCTCAGTAAGGTTTGTCCCAGGCCTCAGTAACGACATCACAGATGCCTTGTCTCATTTTCAGATGGAGTGTTTTCACAACTTGGCTCCTGAGGCCACCCAGCTGCCAGAGACTTTCCCAGAGGAACTGTGGGAAATTGGACAAGAGAAGTGACGCAGGGAGTACTGAGAGCACTTGCACCCTCTACAGTGTGGGCTTACATGAGAGCTTGGTCATCTTTTTTTTAATCGCATGTGGTGGGAATGCAAAAGGTGAAATGCTTCTGGGAGATGATATATAATGAGTTGAAAAAAAATGTTAAAATATACATTTATAAAGAAACCAGAAGCATTTCTCTTGGGTATTGTTGGAAATGATATAAATAGAAAGGAAAGTAAGCTTTTTTTATATGCAGTAACAGCAGCAAGAGTACTTACTATTGGCCCAAAAATGGAAGCAAGAAGAATTACCAACAATGGAAGAATGGAGGATGAAATTAATGGACTACGCAGAACTCGACAAACTAACAGGAAGGATCCAAAACCGGTGGGACCAGACGTTTACCGAAGTCTGGAGTAAATTTACGGACTATTTGAAGAGTATTTGTGATGACCAGACAACATATGTAGGTTTGCAAGAAGTTCTGTGAGGAGTATTAATGAAAATATTGTTAAAATGGAAAAGGAGAGGAAATAGGTCAAGATATTATAAAGGCAGTATTAAGTTAGGAAATGCATAAGAAGTGATGTAAAATGGAAGATTATCAGAGGTGCTGATGGAAGTCTAATAAGATTGTATTTGTGATAATTTTGTGTGGTACGCTTTTTAATTTTGTATGTCAAAAATCAATAAAAATATTTTTTTTAAAAAAAGAGAGTCATCTTAGTCATCTTTTGATGGATTCAGGGCCAGATTTGGCTCATGCCATAGGCTAGGGTCAGCTAGGGAATCTGATGTGCTAAAATACCTGTTTTATTTCAAACAAAAAGGCATGGCCCTTAACGACCATGAGCCTTCACAAGGCAGCTATCTCTTACTTTAGCTACTGCTAAAGTATACAGATGTCCCAATGGGAGAATTTGTGGAAGGTAAATTGGAGGTTTACTGCCTGTTACTCTATAAAGGAAAATATGCAAAAAATGTTATACCGGTGGTACCTGACACCGCATAAACTCTCTAAGATGTATAAAACCACACCAGATGTTTGTTGGGGATGCGGGAAAACAGGAGGCCCCATGCTTCACATATGGTGGACCTGCCGGAAGGTCAAAGAGTTCTGGAATGACATCTACTCAGAACTAAAAATAACGCTAAAGGTAAATTTCGCTAAAAATCCAGAAACATTTATTTTGAGTATTACGGGTACAGATATCCCCTAGGGTTTAAGATTTTTTTTTTTTTCCTGTACGAAACCGCAGCAGCGAGGGTGCTTATTGCGACATATTGGAAAAATGACAAACTTCCTACTATAGATGAATGGTTACTCAAACTTACAGAATATGCAGAATTAGCCTCTCTTTCTGAAAGAATCAGAGACAATCCCAGACTGGAGTTCGTTCTAGAATGCGACACCGTATTTTTCGCTCTATAAGACGCACCTTTTCCCTCCCAAAATGTAAGGGGAAATGTGTGTGCTTCTTATAGAGCGAATGCAGACTGCGCAGCTATCCCAGAAGCCAGAACAGCAAGAGGGATCGCTGCGCAGCGCTCCCTCTTGCTGTTCTAGCTTCTGGTTTAGCCCCTCTGTCCCTTCCCCCACCTCCCGGAAAAGCCCCCAAGAGCCACGGTCCCTTTAAAGAACCGCGTGGAGCGTGTGTGTGGCCCTTGGGGAATAGCCTGCAAGCTCTGCACACACGTTCCATGCAGCTCGTGGGATGCATACAAGTTTTGCTCAGTGCTCCCTTTAAAGAATTTTTTTTTCTTGCATTCCCCCTCTAAAAACTAGGTTGGTCTTATGGTCAGGTGCGCCTTGACTCAACTGTTTAACTGACTCCTCTTAACAGATTCTCTCACGTCAAACTAGCCCAACCCAGACTTATCCTCCCTCTCCCTTCTCTAACTCCAGACTGACTTCTTAACAACTCTAACTTTAACTCCTCCCCTTGGGTTCCTATTGGTTAATCATTTTACACTTAGTTAACCCTTTCCTTATGACCCAGTATGATGTCACACACCTATGAGGGCAAACGCCACACCCCGTGACTTCAAGGTGAGATGTTTCCGCAGCCTTAGAGTTCAGAGAATAGAGGCATGGAAAGGCCATATGAGGGGGTTGGTCCAGATGACCCTCAGGGTCCCTCCCAACTCTACAATTCTATGATCCTATGATTTAAAGTGCTCTAATGAGCATTTAAAGCACATGACGTCCCCCAATGATCCTGTGCATTGCGGCTTTCCTCTCACAGAACTACAATTCCCAGAACCCCTGACAAACTACAATTCCCAGGATCATTTTGGGGAAGATACCTGCTTTTTAGAACAGGGGGGAGAACCTGCAGCACACTTTCCCCAATTTCCTAGGAACCAGGAATGGGAAGCTCAAGTGCTTCCAACAGGATGACTTGACAGAGCAGGCTTATAAAATTTTGTTCCAAAAGGTGCCGCCCCTCTCTCTACTGAGCGATGGCAAGAGTCCATGGCTCTCACCTTTGGAGAACTGAGATATGGCAGAGACTGTCTTACCTTTAGGAAATACAGTTTATTCACCTGTTTACACCCTCAGTTTGCACGGAGGAGTCCAGATCTTACAGCAAAGTCCTTCTGAGAGGGACTTGTCCCCCACAACAGGGCAGCCAGCCTTCCCAAGTTGGATTCCAGACTCTCTTCCTCCTCCTCCTCCTCCTCCTCCTCCTCCTCCTCCTCCTCCTCCTCCTCCTCCCCTTGCTCAAAGCCTCCGTTTTCCTCACCACACACCATTATCCTGGCCCCCTTTCACATCCCCAGTCTCTGTTCACACCGCAGGGCAAGGGAGAAGGACTTCTCTTGCATTTCCAGTTAGGCTATCCTTGGCATTGAATTGTTTCCCAAATAATACCAAATCCTACCATTTATTAATCTCTAGGGTTTAGTGGGATCCCCCCTCAATCTATAACAATATTGTGTGTAATAGGGCAATTTAGGTAATTCTATCAGAATTCCCAAGGGAATGTCAAGCAGGGAGGGAGGGGGGAAGAGAGAGAGTGGAATTCTGGGGGAGAGTGATGATTGGAGGAGGCTTGGAAAGGGAGTTTGAATGTTGGGGAGGAGGCAGTTGAGAGTCGGTTGAGAGCGGTGGGCTCTGGAGGGGGAAGGTCAGCTGGGCTGGGCAGCTCTTCAGCTTAGGATCAGTATGAGAGTCGTTTGATGGTTGCCAAAAGGGAACAGAGACGCAGAGAGGGACTGTGAGTCTCCTGTGGAGGCCGGGAAAGGGGCAGTCCCATGCCCAGTGAAGAGGGGCTCTGCCAGCTGCCCAGGAACAGAATAACCTCAATTTAGGAGGGCCACAGAGCCAGGCTTGGCTTGTATTCCTAATGCCCAGATGCCTCACACCACCCTCTCCAATTACCTAGAAAGTAGCCTTATAGACCAGATTATTGTCTTCCCAAGCAACTTAAAAATGTAATGTGGTGGTCAATGAAAGAAGTTTAAAGACTCTCTCAAAGCAAATCTAAAAGAAATGTAGTATAAACAATTGGGAAACACTGGCGTGCTAGTGCTCCAATTAGAGAAAAACCTTTACCAATGGTGTCATGGACTTTGAAGACACTCGAACTCAGGACAAAAGGGAGAAATAAACTAGGAGGAAGAATGTTTGGCAAACCCTCACCATGATCAACTCCCACCCGGAAACCTATGTCCCCATTGTGGAAGGAAGTGTGGATCCAGAATTGGCCTCCACAGTCCATTATGGACTCTTAAGACCATGTTCATGGAAGACAATCTTACTCGGCTATGAGTGAAGATGATAGAAGAAGATGATAGATTTGGGGTCTACGGCCAATTTCATGGCCTTCGTGGGAAATCCTCCTGGGAAGATGCCTTGCATGGGAAGATGCTCCCCCTCCCCCCGGTTGGTCCATCACTTCCACCATTGTGCTCCCTAAAAGCCAGCACCCACCCAGCAGGTGGAGGCGCACCTTGGGGAAGGGGGATCGTGTCACGGGGCAGGAATCAGCTTGACCTGCTGAACAGCAGCCTGAAGGGGGAGAAGGGGGAGTGACTTCACCTGCAGCTTCAAGGACTCCAAGGAGAAAGTGCTGATGAGAACCAGCTGGCTCCAGCCTTCTCAAGCAGAGCTCCCAGTAGTAGCCAGAGAAGGAAAGAAAACAGCTCCTCCCCCCCCCCCCGCTTTTTTGATACTGTTTGTTACGGAATATTATTTGATCATTGGCATATTGAAAGCAACCAGTTGCTCTGACTTCTTTATTTAATTTTAACATGTGCCAGTCATGCCGCTCTCCTCTTCCAGGGAAGGGCACATTCAGACAGCAACCGGAACATCCCAGAAGATATGCAAGGCACTGAGTAGCATGGATTCCTCCAGCGACTTGGAAGGACTTTACAGTCCAGAAAAGCAAGACCGAAATGTCACGGAATACTGAGTTTGGCTCTTGTCCATCAGCTTGGGAAGTGGCGATGGAGACCATTCTCTGGAAGCGTGGCCCTATGAAAACAATCTGAATTTTCAGCGTTAAGCCTTGGTCCAGAAGTCACCTTGAGACCTGCTTACTCACATCAAAGTTCAAATGTTGAGAGAAGTGCTTAATTAAGGAGTTCGTGCATGTGATCGCTCTTTGCTGTTCATAGATTTTGGGAGTCAATCCAGAAATGCAAGACTGGAATGCCACAGATGACGGAGTTTGGCTCTTGTCCATCAGCTTGGGAAGTGGCGATGGAGACCATTCTTTTGAAGCGTGGCCCTGTGGAGGAAGAAAGACTTCGTAATATCCTGGCAGACGTGAGGAATGGATACCCAATGTCCCTGCCCTGACATTGCTCCCAAAGAAAGCTTGGCCAACCCACTTCTGGACGAGACCATCTCCTTTCTCCTCTCATGCAGGAAGGTTTTTCTCCTATTTTCTGTTGACGCTCAACTTGTAGGGTGTTCTCCCAGCCCCATGCAAATCTTTCCTTCCTCTTACCTGTTCTTTTTGTAAGGGCGGCTTCGGCAGCAGCCACAGGGGACAGTGTTCGTACGCATCCCCAAACATGTTTCAAAAGGACCCCTTCTTTCCTTCTGCCCCAGTACCTGAGGGTCCTCATGTGTCTCCAGGGATTTGGTCAGAACAAAGTACACATTGGGGAAAGGCTCCCTTCCTGCAAAGCAAACAGAGACATCAGCAGGCACCTGACTCCCAGCCATGCTAGTACCAGTCTGGTGCATGAGGGTGGGAGACATGGGAGACATGGGAAGGAAGAATTCCTGTAATATAGGGCACTCAATTGGGATTTTCACTTACCTGAAGTGGGAGCCTTTCCCCCCTTGTTCTGGCTGGCCTCTCGCCTAAGGAAGAAACAAGCTCTGTTATTCTGATTGCTTGGAGGAGTTCCAGATAAATATATAGAGGATAATATTTATTATTATCCTCTATATATTTAGACATATTTATGGAGATATTTTTGAGCCGATTTTGTGCCCCACCCCTCACCTGCGCTCCCATTGGGGGCCCACCTCACCACCCCCTAGCTACGGCCCTGCCTGTACCACCCTACAATTTGCCACCCCTCCCTCTTGTTCTTCCACATAGTTTTCGCCCACTCTGCAGCGTGGTGCCCAGCGTGAGCACCCCGGTCATGCCATCCTAAAAATGCCCCAGCGCAGCCTTGGCAGAGGATCCCACTCCTTTTGCTGGCCAGGTGGACCACAGAGAAACCCTCTCCATAAAACTATAGGGATCTCTAAATCAGGCCGTCCTCCTCCAGCTGTCAAGATCACTGGGAAACCCTTCCCCTGCCACACAAGGTCACAGCATACCTCCGGATTTTGGTGGGTTTCCCTGCACCGCTGGGCTGCTGCTGGGCTGGTTGTGGTTTCCCCAAACCACGGCCCTGCAAAGGAAGAAGGACATTGTACTCTCTAGGGGACAGGGGTCCCATGGGCCGTCCCCAATGATTTCCTTCTGGGGCACATCGCCCTCAATATTTTCTCCCCCGTCTGCCTTCCCAGCTCCCTCCCTTCCTCGCTTTTCCACATCTCTCCTTCTCCTGTTTGGCACAGAGCAGCTCGGCAGCAGCTCATGGGCAGGCAAGCCAGTGGAGGAAGGGCCCTCCTGCGGTGGAGACATAGGGCCCCCGGGGGGAGCAGCCCCCAAACTTCTGTAGGGACAGCCTGAGTGCTGGTGAGGGTGTCTGGCCAGCTGACCCAGGGAAGGAGGGGGACAGAAAAAGCACCCCTGCCAGGCTGCCCATGCCCACGTCACCACTGGTTGCCAACGCTCGCTGCTCCTGCCTGGGCACATAATGGCCCAACCCTGGCTTGGAAGGAGGGGGTGAGGGGCTGGGGCAAGACAGGCTTGCTCCCCCCCCCCCCACTCCAGCACTCAATTGGCATTTCCCCCTACCTGAACTCTGAGCCTTTCCACTCTTTGCCTCCCTACGGGGGTCTTTCTCCTTCCCCCTATCCCATTACCTCTGGGTTGAGAGGCCTTTATCTGGGCTCCAGTCTCTCCCAGGATGCAGCTGTTCCCAGGCTGAACCTTCTCCTCACTGCAAAACAAACAGAGACATCAGCAGGCGCCTGGCTCCCAGCCATGCTAGCCCCAGTCTGGGGCAGGAGGGGGGGGACCTGGGAAGGGGCATTTCCTTCGACCTGATCTTATAAGCTGCCTCAACCTGTCCTCCTCCATACGGGCGTCTGGGCTTCGTCCCGACCGGCCTGGCACAGTGGCAGCAGCCCAAGTCTCCCCCGGCTCCGGAATAACTCTTGAGGTGTTCTTGACGGGGGGAAACCTTGGCTCCTCTTTCTGCGCCAAGTAGGGCTGGGAAGGAGCCATGACCACATGGAGAAGGGGCAGTGGGGAAGAGGTGCGAGGGTTGCCAGCCGGGAACCGCCGGGATGTTCTCTCTGCCCACGTCCCCATTGGCTGCCAACGATCGCTGCTCCTGCCTGGGCACATAATGGCATGACCCCTGGCTTGGAAGGAGGGGGGTGAGGGGCTGGTGCGAGACAGGCCTGCTCTCCCCCCCACACTCCAGCACTCAATTGGCATTTCCCCCTACCTTGCCTCCGTACGGGGGTCTTTGTCCTTCCCCCTGTCCCAGTACCTCTGGGGTGAGAGGCCTTTGTCTGGGCTCCAGTCCCTCTCGGGATGCAGTGGCTCCCAGGCTGAACCTTCTCCTCCCTGCAAAACAAACAGAGTCATCAGCAGGTGCCTGGCTCCCAGCCATACTAGCCCCAGTCTGGGGCAGGAGGGTGGGGCACCTGGGAAGGGGGCATTTCCTCCTACCTGATCTTATTAGCTGCCCCACCCTGAACTCCTCCGTACGGGTGTCTGGGCTCCATCCCGACCGGCCTGGCACAGAGGCAGCAGCCAAATTCTCCCCCGGCTCCGGAATACCGTATTTTTCGCTCTACAGGAGGCACTTTTCCCCGCTCCATGCAAATTCTCCCTTCTTACTCTTACCTGTATTATTTGTGGGGAAGGGGCTTCAGCAGCAGCCACAGCGGAGCAGAAGCCAAACCCTGCAAGAAAGAAGGAATCCCTGAATGTGTGAATGGTCTGTCACAGACCAAACGACCAGGGGCGGGGCTTCAAGAAGTCCCAGGTGAGCAGATGGCTCCTGGGCTCGAATCCTGTTTGTGGCCAGGGGCGTACCGATGGGGGGCAGGGGGACGGGCTGCCCCAAGTGCCATCCTGAAGGGGGGTGACATTCCGACGCACCACCTGCCCGCGCCCCCCAAACCCGCAAATCACGAGCAGCAAAGCATAGAGCGGCAAAGCAATGAAATCCCCCTGTCCCCTTACCTGTGAGGCGAGAGGCCATTGTCTCGGCTCCAGTCCCTCCCGGGATGCAGCGGCTCCCAGGCTGAACCTTCTACTCGCTGCAAAACAAAGGGAGACATCAGCCGGCGCCTGGCTCCCAGCCACACGAGCCCCAGTCTGGGGCAGGAGGGTTGGGACCTGGAAAGGGGGCATTTCCTCCTACCTGATCTTATTAGCTGCCCCACCCTGAACTCCTCCGTACGGGCGTCTGGGCTCCGTCCCGACCGGCCTGGCACAGAGGCAGCAGCCAAAGTCTGCCCCGGCTCCGGAATAACTCGAGAGGCTGTTTTAATGGGAGGAAACTTTGGCTGCTGCTTCTGCGCCAAACAGGGCCGGGAAGGAGCCATGCCCGCACAGAGAACGGATGGAGGGGGAGGCAGGCGAGGGTCAGGGGCCGGGATCCACCGGGATGTTATCTTGCTCTTCATCCTGGAAGCTGGAGCTGGAGCCTCATCCCTGGAGCCTGGCCCTGTGGAGGAAGCAGGATACAGTATGGGCTCTCACTGTCTGCAGATTCCCCAATTATTGCATTGCCACACCATGCTGCTGGGCAATCTCGCAGGGCATGAAATTGTCGGTGGCTCCTGAGGTTTAATGTTCCCAGTTGTACTCTGTGTCCATCTGGGAACTGTAGCGTCAGGCGCGAGCTGAGACCAGGAATATCCAGTGGTGGTAGAGACCCAGTGTTGTCCCAGAGGATACATATGGGAAATGCCAGGGAACCCAGAAGTCTGAACTGACAGATTAGTTCTTTCAGCAGGACTCAGGGACCAGCCTGGACCCTCAGCCTTTCGCTGTTGCCTCCTTGCCTCAGATTAAGGAGTTTAAGGAACCTCTTTTCAAAGGGTCACACGCAGTGATGGTGGAAAGAAATAATACAAAATAAATCTCACTACGCTTCTGCCCTGTGCAAGCTAAAGTCCCCTAGAGACCTTTCCCTTGAAATGATAGACTGTGTACCCACCATACCTTTGGGGCTCATCCCCACTTCCCCTTGGGTCATGTGCCCAGCAAGCTCAGGTGTGTTAACAGATTTGCCCTTTGCTAGACGGGCCAGCCAAGTTTGCAAAAGTCAGCCCAGGAATTCCTTGTCCGGCACAGTTGTGCAGCCTGTACTTTCATTGATATCCCAATTAATCAAAAATCTACCTTTTGTGTATTTCTGGGGTTTGGGTGGGGGGTCTCCGGCAAATGTATTTTGCTTGCACAGTTTTTAATGCCACTATTGATGTGAACCGATGCATGATTATAAAGTAAATAAAGCTTATTTTTAAAGTTCCCATGTTGACGCCTGATTCTTTCTTAAGTGGGGAAAAGGGAGGGAAGGCAGCTAGCTTCATGGCTGGACTTGTTCAAAACAAGGTTTTGCAGCCTGATTCCTTTTAAGTTTGCTGTCAAGGATGGGATTTTAAAACTCTGTTTTTTAAGGACCAGGTGGCAACACTTCTTCAGGTAGACAGGACCCACACTGTGAATTGTGCTCGCAAACATATTGGGAGCCACTGTAGATCCTTTAGGACCAGTGTTATATGGTCCCGGCGGCTGCTCCCAGTCCCCAATCTAGCTGTCACTACATTTGCTGGCTCCTCTCAGATATGCCTGAGCCAATCTGATCTGAGGGGAATCCCTTCCTATCCTCCAATATATGGTCATCTGTTATAGCTTGAGCAGAACCAAACCCCACCTCCCAGGCGGCCCCCTTGAAGGCAAGGCACAATCCTGGGACCCTCAACACCCAACGGTTTTCCATTTTGAACACAAGGGGTCCCTCCCCAACTCAAGAACCTGGCATCTGAGCTCCTCCTACTTTCCTGGTTCCTCCTCATGACTGAGTTCCTAGGACTCCACGGATCTCTGCTAATGGGAGCTGTTCCCAGAGCCCCTAACAAACTACAGTTCCCAGGATCATGGGGTGGGGGGGGGAGACACCTGCTTTTTAGACCAGGGATGAGGAACCTGCAGCTTCCTCACACCCATTTCCTAGGAACCCAGAATGGGATGTTGAAGTGCTTCTTCTAACAGGATGATTGCAGGGAGCAGAAGTGCTTTTCTTCAGCCAGAATTCTCCGCAACTCCATTCCAGCACCTTAAAAAAATTAGGGGGGGGGTTGCCAACTTTCCCCTGCTTTTCCCCTACTGGTTGGGAAAAGAATCTCCCCACCTGGTGACGCAGCTAAGATGGCTCACTGCTTCGTGCCCAGGGAAGGGCCGCCCTTGCCCGCTGCAGCGGACACCTCGTGTGTAAAGAGAGGGATGCTGATTAGGAAGCAGTGGGAAAGTTCAAAATTGATGCAGGATTGCAGGAGGTATCATGCAGTCTTAAGATGAACATCATTTTATGGAATTAAATGTGCAATACAATAAAATACAATATATACGAAACAAAAGAAGCAATTTGGCACCATTTGGGGGGGGGGTGGAAAGGGTTGCTTCCAATCCTGATCTGGAGGCTGTCTTCTACTTGGAAATAAATCCCAACAGTTTGATGGAGTTTCCTCCCAAGTAAAGTGTGCATGGATTGGGGGCTTCAATGGCTAAAGCCATTTGTTTTTGTGGAAATACTGGTGCCCTGAGACCTTCCAGAGCAATTGCTGGTTAGTGTAGGCTAATAATAATAATAATAATAGTTATTTTTACCCTGCCCTGGTTGTGCTCTCTAAACACTCTCCACACCAAACAATCTCTGAGTTTCTTTCAAGTGCAGCCCTACCAGTGACTGTGCAAAAACATTTAATACCATTTTAAAATGCCAAGAAAAGATGGGTGGGGGACAAACTGAGCCCATCTGCATGACTCCTCCTTTTGCAGAACATTCTGATTCTGTTCAGATGTATTGTAAGTTTGTTCCGTCTGGGCATTCCAAAGATGTAAAAGCCCCACCCACAACCCCCAAAACTCTTATTCAGTAACCTGTCTGGTTTCTGAGACTTTATCAGGCATTGTCCACACAATTTCAAGTTTTCAAAGACCACAAGGACTAGAAATCTGCCTTTTATTTATTTATATATTTTTTAAAAGGTAAGATTAGCAGGAAGCTGGATTTTGTACCCTATTATACCTTCTGTTGGGACGCGGGTGGCGCTGTGGGTTAAACCACAGAGCCTAGGACTTGCCGATCAGAAGGTCAGCAGTTCAAATCCCCGCGACAGGGTGAGCTCCCGTTGCTCGGTCCCTGCTCCTGCCAACCTAGCAGTTTGAAAGCACGTCAAAGTGCAAGTAGATAAATAGGTACCGCGCCGGCGGGAAGGTAAACGGCGTTTCCGTGCGCTGCTCTGGTTCGCCAGAAGCAGCTTAGTCATGCTGGCTACATGACCCGGAAGCTGTACACCGGCTCCCTAGGCCAATAAAGCGAGATGAGCACTGCAACCCCAGAGTTGGCCATGACTGGACCTAATAGTCAGGGGTACCTTTACCTTTACCTTTATACCTTCTGTAGTTTTTGTTGTTGTGTACATCAGTTGCAACATGAAGACAATTCTACACAGACACACACAATGGCAAGGCGTGTTGTTTTAAAATCCTAATGTGCCTGCCAGATGGTGGTGTTTCAAAAACATCCGAAAGTGCAACATGCTGCATTTGCATCAAACCCTTGTCTTTTATTCTGTCCTTCCGTCTTTGAAGAACTCTTCATAGGCTTGGGAATTCACTTTTGGCAGATTTCGACAACAATGAACTCTCAGCACTGGCAAGTACATGCAGAACTGCTGGCATTATTCAGAACTGGGCATTATCCACAAATGATCCTGTATGATCTAATACCACAGTTGCTGGATAATAATAATAATAATAATAATAATAATAATAATAATAATAATTTATACCCTGCCCATCTGGCTGGGTTTCCCCAGCCACTCTGGGCAGCTTCCAACCAAATATTAAAAACAATACAGCAATTGTTTGTATGCAGACACAGAGCCAAAAAATATAGCCACCTAGCAGTTCATAGTGAGCATCAAGTGAGGCTTCACACAACCGCTTAGGCACATAATAGCAATGGGTGCAAATCGGGGACAGGAATTGCAATTTCTCAATTGCATGCTGTAGCTCCAGCAGGTCAGGTGAACCTATGTTATCCCTGCAATTACCTGTGTTATCCCTGTGCTAACAGAGCAATTTAAAGGAAAGCTTTCTGGGCTGTGTACAGCAGACAGAACATAGAAATGCAGAAATACACAGGATCCTTATTTGCAGTGGGTGAGGTGCAGCCATGGCAGAAACCAGTATCTCCTCCAGCTGGCATTCTGCGCCTCCTTTTTAGTTGTTTTCTCGCTGCGTCATTCATCCGTCTTGACATCCAGGTAACATCAACAGCTAGAAGCCAAGTCAGGAGAGCAGGCAGGGGAAGAGAGATCAAGGATTCAAAAGAAAGAGGGACCTCAAGCAGTTGTGGAAGTTGTGCTGGGACCCATTGGGTTGCCCCATGAGTCTGGATAATGCATTATTTTTGAAGAGGATACCTGGATTAATCAAATCAAACACCTTTCTTGGCATCACAGTATAAAACATTTTAAGTCACTGGGATAATTAAAAGGACAGGGGTGAAGCTGTTGAAGGCCATAAGGTTATACCATGATCGTGTGCACTTAGATATTCTGCTTCTCCCTGTCTGTTACCTGAAAGGTTTGGCCTTTTGGGTAAGATTGTGGCTAAAAAGGCAGCTACTAAAAAAATTTGGAAATTGCAAGAAATACCGACAATAGAAGAATGGCAGATGAAGATGATGGACTTTTCGGAGCTGGCTGACCTGACTGGAAGAATCTGCGACCAGAAAGAGGAGGAAACACAAGAAAACTGGAAGAAATTTAAAAAATATTTAGTGAGATACTGTAATATAAGATAATTAGGAAATCCCTAGAAGTAACAGATTAGGCTAAGGGATAGAAAAAGATTAATAATAAAGATTATTATGGATGACAATTGGAAGGAAGGTTAAGAGGTTTGTAATGAAAGAAGATACTGATGTTATAAATATGAATTTGGGAACTGCTAAATATGTAATTTGATGAAATCCAGATTTGAGGGTGTCAAGGAAGTCTTTTAGCAATGTAAATACACCAGGGAATAAGAAGGAAAAAAATCGTCTTTTATTTTGTGTGTTTTTATTGTTAAGTTTTTATGTTGTGTCAAATGTAATGTTTTTATTTTGTGTTTTTGTCTATGTGTTATAAGAGAAAACTAATTATTATTATTATTATTATTATTATTATTATTATTATTATTATTATTATTAAAAAGGAGGCTACTAAAACAGTGATATCTTTGTCCCGATCTGCCAGGAGAAACCTCATTTGACTTCTTCTCGGAGTTCTAGGCTGGAAGTCCAACATTTTGCTCAGTTGGTGAGGTCTGCTGTGTAACGAGCAATCTAAGAGAATGTGGTCCATTGAATCAATACCTGGATTATAAGTACGCCAATTGAACACTCATGACCTGATGCGTTATTATCAAGCTGCGTCACAAGCTGGACACGGAGCTGCTTTCAGAATATCACTGAGGTGAGTAGCATAGCATTTTGGATCAGGGTGTCACAATCCCAGAAGCATCAATTCAGAAAGCTGAATTCAAGGGACGCGATAACTGAAACCAGCTCTGGCCACGTGGTGGCAGCAAAATACACTTTTTGAAAGCATCTGCATTACATCCCATGATGGATTGTCACTAACCAAATGAATACTTGTCATTTGAAAGGCTTCAGAAGGGCAAGAAGCAGGTTTTAATTTTTGTTGGGGATCTATCAATACCAGCCTTGGATTGTATTAGATAAAAATTTTACCTGGATATGTGCCGAGCTCCATTACAGAACAATCATCCTGGATAGCTCAGTCGGTAGAGCATAAGACTCTTAATCTCATGGTTGTGGGTTCAAGCCCCACGCTGGGCAAAAAGATTCCTGCATTGCAGGGGGTTGGACTAGATGACCCCCGTGGTCCCTTCCAGCTCTACAATTCTGTGATCCCTTCTATGCCCACATACTCTGAGACTAAAGGTTTATTGTACCTGTTTCTTTCCAGTCTGATTTTTCCCACACGGTCTGGACTCCCTTATTTCACCCCCAGACACTTTTCAAGAATTGTTCCACTAATTCTTTGAATTCTCTCTCCTTATATTGATTTAATTTGGGAAGTTTTCTCGCTCTGGTGAGAGTCTTAGAGGCTGTGTGCTGATGAGCGGATCTCTCCCTCTACTGCCTTGGCTTATTTCCAAAATTATGACAGCCTGAACTCTTCAGAGCTTGCGTTGCCCTGGTGGGGAGCTCGGTTTTGTGCCTGTGTGTGTGTATTTGCATTTATAGAAAATTTTATTCATTGTTTTTAAAAGATGGCGTGTCAAGTCATCAAGCACAAGGAAAGAAAGATCAGACAGCAAATATTTGGGTCATATATGGCAAAGAACAAGAACATTCAATCTAAAATGTCCTTTTTCTATAGACTTTTTAATATCTACAGTTCCAGAGTTGCAGACATGAAACAGTAATTACCCTGAATAGAGACGTATTTCCCAATTTTTAAAAAGAAAATACCCAGTTACAAGACATTTGTACTGGCAGTAAACACAGAACAAAAGTAATATATCTAAGCATTTAATGTGCCTTTTTTATTGAGGTAGGTGAGATGTATTGAGGTAGGTGTGTATCAAAACAAGCACTGCACGACTACTGTTTAATATGGTTTACTTGCACCCACAGGGACACAGGTAAGAAACATTTCCATGAACAGAAGGATGGAGTATGTGCGCATTATAATAAACCAAGTTTGTGTTCAACCAAAAGATGAGGATCTCCCATTCCTTCACTCTGTGCCGGGTCGTTCAGAATATCCTCAAAACCAATGCAGTCACAGTTGCCTTTCCAGATATCCAGGGACAAGTTAGAACTAGGAAGGAAGACGCTGGAGCTGCTTCACTGCTTGGAATTCCATTTGCAGCTTCAGCGGTGCCTGCAGCCCCAGAATATTTCTCAGAGTAGAAAAATTCATTTTATCTTGATTTAACAAAAAAAATTATCTGATAGTTTGAAAGGATGAACAGGGAAAAGTTCACTCTTCACATTTGTAAAGCCTCAATGTATCACACCACAGCTTTCAAATGCTCCAGCAGCTGAAAAATCAGAAACTGGAATACAGTACTTCAGTTGAGATCCAAAAGCTCAGGATTTTTGCACCATCACCCAATGCCTCTTCCTTCTGCCAGCCGGCGGGGAGCTCATTGACGGCATCGCTGGGGAATCCTCAAGCTGTTCCTTTTTATTTAAAAAGCAGGGGGGAAAGGATAATGGTCAAGGACAATGGGAGTTGTAGTCAAGCAACCCCTGTAGGAAGGCCCCCAGTTCCCAAACTCATATTATTAGTGTAGGCCTTTTTCAGAACTGCCTCCACAGCATGAACACTTACGCTCAACGGTTCTCCCCACCCTATGCAAATCTTTCCTTCCTCTTACCTGTTCTATTTATAAGAGCAGCTTCAGCAGCAGCCACAACAGTGAAAACAGGAGATCCTGGAAGAAAGAAGGTATCTTTGAAGCAGGGGAGAACTCGACACTAAGAACTGCTTTAAGGGGAGAATCCCTGAACATGTGAAACTCTGCCAGCGGTAGCAGATTCACCCAATCGTCCTGGGGATAACTAAGGAAGCAGCAAAGATACACTTCCAGGACTGCTCTGTCTGCCTGTCTCCTCTCTCCTCACTTCATGTTAGTTTGGTGTTGGGTTGGTTGGTTGGTTAGTGAAAGCTGGTAGTGTTGAGGTGTGTACACTTGGTCAGTCGCTTTTGCAGAAAGACTTTTAAGAATAAAAGCAGAAAGCAATCTGCAAGGACACTCTTCTCGTGGACTCTTTTATGCCAACAAGGGTCCGAGGACCAGGCTGAGGCGACAAAGGGAGGTCAGAACCTTTTCTTTTCTTTTTACAAACACTGACAAGAACGTCCCCTCAGCCACCCATCCAGCTGTCACACCCACCCCAGGGACTTAAAGCCCATCCCACTGCGGAGCTCACAAGAGCCGCTTTTTGGCAGATGACCATGAGATGTAGCAGAAGAAAATCTCTGACTGCATGGCTTTAAAAGAGGACTTCCTGATTGTCTGCCATGGCAATCGCCTGTGCCAATTACACTGGAGCCCTTCTGTGCTAGTAACAGAAGATAATATGGGAGTAATTATCCTCCCATATTATATTAATATGGGAGTAATTAACCCCCCTGGGGTTAGGGGGGCTCTCCACCCACAGATTGTCTGATACCTGCTGCCTGTCCAGAAGGAAGAGGGGGCAGGGGGAGCTGGGTGTACACCGCATGGCTGTGGCAACTCTCCCAAGCCGGCGCCACGAGCAGAGAACACCTGCTTTTTAAGATAAAAGTTTGGACTTAATTAACAGGCATGTCCTGAACCAGCAGAGACAAAATAACTTGCTAATTTAATCAGCCTCTGAGAAGGAACTGATCTGGGGAAAGAGTTTAATCATGACCAAAATACAACGGCTTGAAAATGTAAGCGGATGCTATCTTAATTATGAAACGGACTTGTGAAATTTTGACTATGAGTCTGGCAAGGATCACTAAGGGAAAGATGAAAGGAATTCCTAATGGAGCTATCGTTTTAGCGTGGAGGTATCATCTCATTAAGGGCTGGAAGAAGTCCAAGAGGAGAGTTCTGGATATCTGCCTGGGATTAATGGCGGACAATGACACAGTTAAAATATCTCTTGAGAGCAGAAAACGAAACTAAAGATCTCTGAGGAGCAGAAACAAGAGTACAAAGGACTGGCCCACTTGTTGAAATAATTGATGGATTAATTGTATAGCCCCAGGGGGAGGCAAGCCATTTTTAATTCTCTTTTGATATATATGTATTTGCAGTTTTACCTGGTTAACCTCTCCCGAAAGGCAATGACTTGAAATACACAAGTGGGATTGAAAGAACTCTGCTGCTGTTCCCTCAGTGGAAGGAAGGAAAAAAATCCTGGATTAGAGATACTTTGTTTTTGCAGAGGTACCAGAATGTTGGGAGATGATACGAGGCTATGGAGGGGAATTCTGAAGAGCTGCCCTGAGCTAATGGTGTCTTTCTGTCTGGGATCTGGCGTATAATGTCTCCTGATGGCAGAAACTGAAAATGGAATTGCAGGAAATGGATAATACCAGGGGAAATATTTCACCAGAACTATGAAGACTGAAGTTTGAACAGACCAGTGGTTGTAAACAAAAATGAAAATAAAGTGAAGGATTAACATCGGAATGGTTTATTGACTAATTAAGAAATGCAATGTGATATTAAATGATTAGCACTCTGTGAAATTCAGAGCATGGGAAGTCACACAAAGATATATCATCTGACAATATATTTGGCTTTTTTATTGCATAGTAATTTGGAATGTTTTAATGTAGTTCTTATTAGATTATTAAATTGGAAAACTCAATAAAATATTATTTTTAAAAAAAGAGCATTAGACGGCATATCACAGACCATGAGAGGCACCAAAAGAGCATCTCTGGCTGTATGGGTTTAAAAGAGGATGAGGCGACTTAACAGAGGAGAGGGCGATCAAAGGTCTTGATGGAGGCAACAACGCTTCAGAAAAGCCATTGCAGGAAGTCCCAGGTGGGCAGAGGGCTCTTGCGCTCAAATCCTGCTTACGGCAGGCCCCTCTTGTGCGTTTCCTAAGGCCCCCTTCCTTTCCCCTGTCCCAAGTGTCCTCCATCTGGGCTCCAGTCCCTCCCAGGATGTAGCAGCTCCCAGGCTGCATCTCTCCCTCACTGCAAAGCAAACGGAGACATCAGCACCCCTGCCAGGCTGCCCATGCCCACGTCACCACTGGCTGCCAACGCTCGCTGCTCCTGCCTGGGCACATAATGGCCTGACCCCTGGCTCGGAAGGAGGGGGTGAGGGGCTGGGGAGAGACAGGCCTGCTCTCCACCACACCCCAGCCCTGTTTCACTCAGGTTGGGGCCACAACCTCCTGGCACAGGTGGGGAATGGATTTCCCATGGAATCAACTTACCACGACTTCCAAGATGCCAGATCTGGGGACCTCCCCTTCTTCCTCATGGTGCCACAGCAGCCTCTGTGGCCTGCTGGGCTTAGGACCTAGGAGACAGAAAGAAGCCCCTCTTTGCCACATGCCCATGGCAATGTCGACTGTACTACTGATCCTAAGCCCAGCTGAGCTTCAGGTCCCCCACCAGGTGCCCCCTTCTAGAACCCACCGCTCTCAACCAACTCTCAACTGCCTCCCCGCCACATTTGAACTCCCTTTCCAAGCCTCCTCCAATCTTCTCTCTCCACCAGAATTCCTCTCTCTCTCTTGCCCCCTCCCTGCTTGACATTCCCTTGGGAATTCTTTTTTTTTTTAAATGATATTTCTTAAGGTTTCCAAAAAAAGGTTACATATATAAGAAAGAGAAAAATAGAGAAAAGAAAAAATACAAAATACAGAAAAAATAAAAGAGACTTAAAAAGCAAATCAATCTTTCCATACCTTACATTTCATTTACTTGTTTCCCTGACCTCCTCTCGCCTCCCTTTTTTGTGTTCCAGTTCAGTTAATTAATTCAGCAATTCCTTTCCCTCTTTATTTTTATCTTAATCCTTTAACTTAATATATTATAGCTTTAGATTCTCACCTGTTAACAATCCATTTTTACATACACCTTTATAACATTGCTACTAAAACCACTTAACTTCATTCTGACATCATTCTAACATTCATTAATTTTGCAGTATTTCTGTAAATAGTCTTTAAATTTCTTCCAATCTTCTTCCACCGACTCTTCTCCCTGGTCTCGGATTCTGCCAGTCATTTCCGCCAGTTCCATGTAGTCCATCACCTTCATCTGCCATTCTTCCAGAGTGGGTAGATCTTGTGTCTTCCAATACTTTGCAATAAGTATTCTTGCTGCTGTTGTGGCATACATAAAGAAAGTTCTGTCCTTCTTTGGCACCATTTGGCCGACCATGCCCAGGAGAAAGGCCTCTGGTTTCTTCAGAAAGGTATATTTAAATACCCTTTTCATTTCATTATAAATCATCTCCCAGAAAGCCTTAATCCTTGGGCACGTCCACCAAAGGTGAAAGAATGTACCTTCAGTTTCTTTACATTTCCAACATTTATTATCGGGCAAATGATAGATTTTTGCAAGCTTGACTGGTGTCATGTACCACCTGTAAATCATTTTCATAATATTCTCTCTTAAGGCATTACATGCCGTAAACTTCATACCTGTGGTCCATAACTGTTCCCAGTCAGCCATCATTATATTATGTCCAACATCTTGTGCCCATTTAATCATAGCAGATTTCACCATTTCATCCTGAGTATTCCATTTCAACAGCAAGTTATACATCTTTGACAAAATCTTGGTTTTGGGTTCTAACAATTCTGTTTCCAATTTTGATTTTTCCACCTGGAAGCCAATTTTCTTGTCCAAATTATATGCCTCCATTATCTGATAATAATGAAGCCAATCTTGCACTTTATTTTTTAGTTTTTCAAAGCTCTGCAATTTCAATCTGTCTCCCTCTTGTTCCAAAATTTCCCAATATTTCGGCCATTTGGCCTCCATATTGAGCTTTTTCTGAGCCTTCGCTTCCATTGGTGACAACCACCTTGGGGTTTTATTTTCAAGTAGGTCCTTATATCTTATCCAAACATTAAATAATGCTTTCCTGACAATATGATTTTTAAATGCTTTATGTGCTTTGACCTTATCATACCACAAATATGCATGCCATCCAAATACATTATTAAAGCCTTCTAAGTCCAAAATGTCTGTGTTTTCAAGAAGCAGCCATTCTTTCAGCCAGCAAAAAGCTGCTGATTCATAATAAAGTTTAAGGTCTGGCAGGGCAAATCCACCTCTTTCCTTTGCATCCGTTAGTATTTTAAATTTTATTCTAGGCTTCTTGCCCTGCCAGACAAATCTAGAAATATCTCTCTGCCACTTCTTGAAGCAATCCATTTTATCCAAAATTTGCAATGTTTGAAACAGAAACAACATTCTAGGCAATACATTCATTTTTATCGCAGCAATACGGCCTAGCAGTGAAAGCTTCAAATTTGACCAGATTTCTAAATCTTTTTTCACTTCAGTCCAGCATTTTTCATAATTGTCTTTAAATAGATTCCCATTTTTAGCTGTCATGTTAATCCCCAGGTATTTCACTTTCTTAACCACTGTTAAACCTGTCTCATTCTGAAACCTCTCTCTCTCAATCGCTGTTAGATTTTTCTCTAAGACCTTTGTTTTTGACTTATTCAGTTTAAATCCTGCAACCTGACCAAATTCTTGAATCAGTTCCAAAACTCTTTTGGTACTAGATTCTGGCTCCTGTAATGTCAGTACTCAGTCATTTGCAAATGCTCTCAATTTGTACTGTTTAGCTCCGACTTGTATACCTTTAACCAATTGGTCCCTTCTAATCATGTTCAGCAGGACCTCCAGGACCGATACAAAAAGCAATGGGGAGATTGGGCAACCTTGTCGTGTCCCTTTTTCTATCTTAAATTCCTCCGTCACCACGTTATTAACAATTAATTTAGCCTTTTGTTCTGAATAAATTGCACTTATACCGTTTCCAAAGCCTTGGCCTACCCCCATCCCCTGTAGATTCTTCTTCATGAAACTCCAAGAAATGTTGTCAAAAGCTTTCTCCGTGTCCACAAATATCAAAACTGCCTTGGTGTTAATATTCACTTGTAATTTTTCTAAAATATTGATTATGTTTCTATGATGGGAAGATGAGCTGCTTGTGCGTAAAATCGTATTCCCTCAGAGTTTGTTCAAGTCCACAAACCTCTGTCTGTGACTGAGCCCCTCTGACATGGCTCCTCTAGTCACTAGAAGATTCCGACAGTGGCTGCTTTCGTAATCGCTTCCAACATAAAAGCTCCTTAACGGAAACACGTCTTCTGGACTCTCTGCGTGACAGTTTCCGGCGAGGAGTGGGTGTCCCTACAGGAGGTCCGGAAACCTCACCACTGTTTTCGCTGGAAGTATCTCTGAGCCATCCCCCAGCTCCCTTTCCCTCAGTTCAGCTTCTCTCCCCTGCTGGTTTCCTCTTCAGCTGCTGAGTCTCTTCCAACCTGTCTGAGCCCTTTCACCTCCCTCAGTTCAGCTTCTCTCCTTGCTGGTTCCCTCTTCAGCTGCTGAGTCTCTTCCAACCTGTCTGAGTCCTTTCACCTCCCTTCCTTCCGATGGCAGTTCCCTGACATCCACCTCCCTCCAGGGCCCCCTTCACCCCCTCTCGCCCTCCTCTACGGGCGGTGAGGAGGCAAAACCCCGGAATGAACTTCCTTCATCTTCCGATGTCTCGAACACTTCTCTCCACCTGTTGCGGTTCCTGGTCTCGAAGCACTCCTCCTCCTCCGAGTCCATCCCCTTCCCCTTCCGATTCTGGGAATCCTTCCAACTCCTCCTCCTCCTCAGTGGTCCCAAAGTATTCCCTCCGGAACCTCTCCACAGGCTGAGGTTTCCTCGGGAACCTTTGATGGAACGTTTCTATCAATACCTCGTCATTGATATCTTCGGCCATTACCCACGTGTTTTCTGACTCCGGTTCTCCTTCCCACGCTACCAAATACTCCACCTGATTCCCCTTCCACCTGGCATCAAGGATTTCTGCCACATGACTGCTGCATTCTCTTTCTTCTATGACCGGTCCCCGAGTGGCCATCCCTTCTCGTCCCCTCGTACGGTGACAGTAACGACCTGTGAAATACTGGGTGCAGTTTCATGTGGTTGGGTAACCGGAGCCTGAAAGCCACTGGGTTGACCTGTTGAATGACCTCAAAGGGACCCAACCTCCTGGGTCTTAATTTCTTACAACCTCCTTTGAACGGCAACCCTCGGGTTGACAGCCACACCCTATCTCCAACCCTTATGGTTTCACCTTCCCTTCGGTTCTTGTCTGCCTGCCTCTTGTATTCTTCCTTCGCCCTTTCTAAGTTGAGTTGGAGCTGACGGTGGATTGCTTCCATTTCTTCTACAAAATGCTCGGCTGCCGGTACGCTCCATCTCTCCCCTTCTCCACCTGGGAAAGCCCTGGGATGACACCCATAATTAGCCAAGAAGGGGCTCATCCCTGTGGACACATTCTCGGCATTGTTGTAGGCAAATTCCGCCAGCGCCAACTTTTCTACCCAGTCATTCTCTCTGTCATTGACATAACACCTCAGGTATTGCTGGAGGACACCGTTTGCTCTTTCCGCCTGCCCGTTGGTTTCCA